AGCTAAGTAAAGATAAATAAGTAACCAGATAAGATTAAACACCTAGTATTTTGGTGCTTTTTTAATCTTTTCAATGCTACTAACAACAGCTAACTTTACTGTTACTATTTTTTTTTCAGGATTTATTTATTTTTAAAATCTTTATTATTGAAAATATTGCAAAGGGCCTTCTTCCCCCCCAACCCTCGATCCAATTAACCTCTTCCAGGCCGCTCCCATCCCACCGAGAGGCCCTCACCATCCCACAATTGCCTGTGTCCACACATTATGCATATATGCATACAAGTTCATTGGTTGATCTCTTCCCACCCACTCTCCCACTGTTACTAATATTCTTACTATGTGCCAGGTTCCATTCTCAGCTCTAAGCACTTTTATTTATATTAACTCATGTAATCCTCTTAAGGACCATGGGATACAGGTACCATTATTCCTATTTTATAGATAAAGAATCTCAGACAGATGGGTTAAATATCTCGCCTAAGTTAGTAAGGGGCAGAGCTAAGATTTAAACCTACAGTTTGACTACTCAGATCATCCTCTTGACCACTGCATTTATACTGCCTCTAAATTAATAAGATCCTGATTTAAGGAAATACTAAATGCCTTTGTGAATTAGATACATACCTAGGTCCAACTATTCTGTGTTCACTCATCTATTTGATTTTTAAAATTACTATACAGTAAATTCTCCCCTTACTTAGGCTATATCTCATTTTAGGATATTTGCTTCTATTACAGATAGAATAAAAGATGATTCTTCAGAGACTGAATACTTGCTCACATAAGATTTCTACTTTATAGCTAAGACTGCCACCTAGTGGGCCACAGCAAAAATCTTTACCAATAAAATCGAGACAAAGAACTTTGAGGTGTAAAATACAAAACACACAAAAAAATAGGAAGACAAATATTAAGATACTAGAGGCCCGGTGCACGAATTCATGCACGGGTGGGGTCCCTTGGCTGGGCTGGCGATAGGGCTATCTCGCCCAGTCCTGATCAAGGCCAATGGGGGCCAGTCGGCAGGGGAGGGACCACGGGAGGGCTCCAGGGCATGTCCAGCCCTCTCGCCCAGTCCCCATTGGCCAGAGCCCAGCAGCAAACTAACCTACCAGTCGGAGAGTCTTCCCCCTGGCAGTCAGTGTGCGTCACAGCGACTGGTCGAGCAATTAGACACTTAGCATGTTACACTTTTATTATATAGGAATGTATCAAGTTTCAATGAGACTTTTCTGGAAACTCACACATTTTCCATAATTAACAAAAACTCAGGTTTTTTTTAAATTAGTGATTTATGAAATACTGACGCTTTCAACTAAAAGAACAGTGCCTCACCCCTGAGGTTCCTGTGGGTGACTGTTCTCTCTAGGGCCTTACAGCACTGTATGAAGACCATAATGACAATATGCAGCATGTTGTACTATATGTGTTCCCATGTCATTCCTTCCTCAGTCTATAAGTTCAAGGACAGAAACCTTATTCACTTTAATGTCCCTTGTATCAATGAATGACTTGAATGAAAAAGCGCATGAGAAAAGTTTGAAGAACCCTGGCCAGTGTGTCAGTGCTTAAAGCATCAGCCCAGGACCAAAGGGTCTCGGGTTCAATTCCCAGTAAAGGGCATGCAACTGGGTGCAGGTTCATTCTGCAGCCCTGGTCAGGGAGCCTGCAAGAGGCAACCAATCTATGTGTTTCCCTAACATCAATGTCTCTCTCTCTCCCCCTTGCCCCCCGCCCCCCCGACCTTCCCCTACACTCTATGGAAAAATATCAACTGAGGATTTTTTAAAGAGAAGTCAGAAGACAATCTATCTTAATTTTTCCCTATTTTATAAACATAAGCTGTACCTTTTTAAAAATCCTCACCAGAGGATATAGTTTTTTATTACTATTGATTTTTAGAGAGAGGTAAGGAAAGTGGAAAGAGGGGAAGAAAGGGAAGAGAGAAACAGAAACATCGATGTGAGAAACATCTATCTGTTGCCTCCCCTACATACCCCAAACAGTAATCGAACCCATAAGCTAGGCATATGCCCTGACCAGGAATCGAACCCACAACCTTTTGATGTACAGGACGATGCTCCAACCAACTGAGCAACCGGGCCAGGGCCATAAGCTGTACCTTTAATAGAATTCTCAACCCTGGCAATTTGCTCCCCGGGGAACATTTAGTAAAGTCTGGCACCTTTTTGATTGTCACAATTTGAGGAAAAGTATGCTACTGGCATCTAAAGAAGTCAGGGATGCTGCTAAACATCCTATAGGGTACAGTGACAACCCCAACACCAAAAAACATTATTCAGCTATAAATATCAATACTGCCAAGGTTGAATAGCCTGCTTCCTCCCAACCATCTTTCCTAGAAATGTACAAATTAATGAAAAATACCAATTTACAATGATAAACTGAGCCTAGAACCCAACTGTTTTACATTAAAAACTTATTTTTATATTGGTTTAATACACACTGGATTTTCTAGAAACATACAGTATATAATGTATATAGAATATATTATAATTAACCTTTGTAAATCAAAGCTGCACTTTGTATTTCTCAGATCTTTAAAAAGAATTCTTTATCACTTAAGGGAAATACCAATTATGACATACTAGAGGTCTGGTGCATGAAATTCGTGCGGGGGGGGCGGGGGGGTCCCCTCAGCCTGGCCTGCACCCTCTCACAGTCCGGGACCTCACTCCTTACTGCCCACCTGCTCACTGCTCCTTAATGCTGCCGTGAGCCCAGCTTCTAGCTGGAGCAGTGAGCGCACTGACCACCAGGGGGCAGCTCCTGCGTTGAGCATCTGCCCCCATGTGGTCTGTGTGCATCAGTGACCTGTCATTCTGCCCTTCGGTTGATTTGCATTTTAGGCTTTTATTATATAGGATAAGTTGCCAATGCATCACAACTGTATAGTCTATTTGTAGCCAGCACATTGTGGACCAAAAAAACACCACAAAAACAGTTTTATGAAAAGTAACTTCACAGGGTAATCTGATCATAAAGTCCTAACTGGGCAGGTCATGGTGGGCAATCATATAACTTCTTCAGTAAAAGTTTTATCTTTTGTCTTAAGCAGGCCCTGTCCATGCTTCTGTGCATCCAGGCTAACATACCTACCTCTGAAAGGCCTCTTATCAGACCCTTCCTTCTAAAAGTGAGACCACCCTGATGAAAACACCATCTTGTTAACTATCCTGTAATCCAACCCCCACCTTGCTTTCTCCTCCCTTCATGTATAACCTTCCTTAGTTCCAATGCATAAAAGCTGCTACAAACTGTCATTTCTTAGAAGAATTTTCTCTCAGTCTACTGAGATCTTACTTCCAGGTGTTATCTTCTATTTGGCTCAAATAAATTCTTATAAAAAGTCTCTACAGGTCTGGATGTTTCTAACATCCAAAATCCTCTACATTTAGCAAGATAAATGAGGCATATAATAGGAGAGCAATAGCTACATGTTGGAGCTGCTGGTGAACAAATAAAGATGAGGGAAAATGGCGTGCTCCAAGACAGCAGTCGCCAATGGGTGGTCCGTGGACCACTGGTGGTTCGTGAGGTCCGAAAGATTGGCGACCGCTGCTCCAAGAGACCATGAAAGATCCTTGCCCCTTCCCACGTATTATTCCCAATGCATCCCTCCCATCTGGCTGTTCCTGAGTTGTATCCTTATATAATAAACAGTAATCTAGTATCTAAGAATGCTCACTCTAGGGACACTCCCTCTCAGAAACCAGCCAACCTTCTGTGAGAAGCCTGAGTCAAATGGAAAAGCCCAACCAAGCTCTCAGCCAAGCAGTCAACTGCCAGCCATCAGACATCGTGTACAGCTGTGCCTTCAGCACCAGCTGCCATTTGACTGCAAACACAAATATTTAGAGATGCCAAGTAAGAATTGCTCTCAGTTGAGCCCAAACATGGAATGAAGATAATTATTAATAAGTTGTTGTTTTAACCCACTACCTTTGGGGTGAATTGTTACACAGCAATGGAAAAGTAGAATACCTTCTCATTCAATCACTTGCAGTTTTTGTTTAGTGTCTTTATCACATGTATATTATCATTAAGAATAAATTAAGCCCTGGCTGGTTTGGCTCAGTAGATAGAGCCTCAGCCTGAGGACTGAAGGGTCCCAGGTTTGATTCCAATCAAGGGCACATGCCTGGGTTGCGAGATTGGTCCCCCTTAGGGGACGTGAAAAATCTTAATAATGACACACTGGGTAGTGATATTTCATGTAACTTTTGTTTTATCTATTTTTTCATTTATGTTAAAACTATCATTTATTCTAAATAATTTAACAAAGAAAAATTACTATAAAATGAAGAAACTTAAAAATTTTCAGAGTCCTGAATATTGTGATACTTTCACAAAGCTATAATTTTATATAAAATAGTATGCTTTCTAAAAGTTGCTTAAGATTTTACAAGGTTTTTTAAAATAATACTGATGTATTTGTCAGTGAAGGCAAAAATCCCACTGATCTGATCCCATCCTAAGTGTGTTTAGCACTATAGCATGGACAGAATTATCTGTTCATCCCAATGCTTCAGAAAAACAAACCTCTAGTTCCCATCAAAAAGAAAAGAAAAAAGTAATCTCCCTCCTTACCAATATGATCATCAAATGAGCAAGTTACTTAAGAGAGTATCAGTCACCCACAACTTTTTCCCAACCTGCATAAAGTTTTCATATCAAGATATGAAGTAATATTTATAAAAATAAAATCATCAAGAAATAAACTCCTTTTTTGGTACAACTGAACTATAAGCATAAGAAATCATATAATATAGCCACCATGCTATATAGACAAGCTGCTATACTATGATTCCAAGTGCTACAATTAACCTAAACTCTTTCAAATTACAAATTGTGTTCTGAGAATCAATGTTAGGAGTTATTAGCTCTGTTCTAAGAGATGACAATGCTAAAAAATCAAATAAAAGCAGTATTATAAAATTTGAGTTATAATTGTATTATATTATAAATTTTGTCACCTTAAATTTGTAACATATTTGCAAACTAAAGAAAGTATTATTACAGAAAGGCTTACCTTCGTCCACAGAAAACTGACAGCTTTTATCATTGAAGAAAAGAATTTTCTTCTTATCAGGACGATTTACAAATAATATCTGGTCCCCTAAAGCCTTAAAGATAAAGAAAAATTTTTCAGTTAACTCCAAATTACTTTACCAACACCCTATTATTTTTCTTTCTTCCCTTTTTTTTTTTTTTTTTAACAACAAAGGACTCCCATTTCTTTTAACCCTCAATAAATCAATTTCAGTTCTTGAGTTTCTTGAGCAGTTCTGACTGCAATTAAGGGCTGCTATTTCAAGACCTTTATTCTTAGAGGTCTTCCAAAGTACAGAAAAAAATACCTATTTTAAAAGAAACCGAATAAAATTCAGTATGTGTGGCAATTACAATTTGGTCCACGGGACCTTTTTATTAATCTAAGAAAAATGGTGGGTTATTTTAGTGTTTTTACTTTTCCTTCTACCTTAAAATATTTTGCTACTTACTCATCATTACAACCTCAATTATTTCCAAGTATGTTTTAAAAGCTAAAATAAGAAAATGGAAGAATGATCAAATCACCTAGAATTGTAATGCTATAGTGAAATAGCCACATTTCAGTTTTCTTATTGCCCAAATTACTGCATCATCCAACAAGAAAATATAAAAGACTAAGGAGACTTCGTTGTCTTTCACCTTTCTTGAGCGCAACTGACAATTCAGAGTTTATTTTCTACCACTCAGAGTAATGACAAGAAAACTGAGAGATGTTTCATTATTATTAATGAGTGAGAACAAGAATGAAAAAGCCTGAGAGCAGCACTTTAGACCAGTGGTTGCCAACCAGTGGTCCATGAGTTCTGAAAGGTTGGCGACCGCTGCTTCAGACTCTAATGACAGTAAAATGCATCACAAAAATGGTCTCAAACTGGAAGTGCTTAGATGACACCATCACAGATGAATAATCTCAAGCTTACAAATCAATGTGAACAACATATTTCTAAAGACATAAAGGAAATAAAGTATTTTTACCCAGTTAGTTATTCAACAGGAAGGACTTCATCATACAATACTGTGTGGTAAGAATCTTTGCCATCTCACTTTGCTAAAAAGACATATAATAATATTCTTGCATCTTTCTGATGTTTGCCAATATATACTTGGTACAGAGGCTTGCTATGCTAAATCCTTATTAAAATGTTGAATAAATCTGTTTTTCACCATCCCTTTATTTTTATGTAAATAATTCATAACATGGCTTAAAATATTTTTGTAAATAATAAAGCAGACTCCATTGCACCCAGGTAGTAAGAACAGAATAAACATTCTGGGTTCAAACAATTTAGAAATAATCCCTCCTAAAAATAAAATAGGCTGTGCTTTTCATGACCCCTTAAGCTCTAATCCTTAGGGAACACAGCCACTAAAGATAATGTGTCAAAGTAACTTTACAACACAAAATTGTTTAAAATAGAATAAGCAATTACCAGTTGATGCCACTGTTCTACTTAAGAACGTAATGAAAAGCCTACTGCATAGTAATAATGCTGGTCCCTATGAAAAATGGGAGGAAAAAACAAACAGCAGGAAACATACCTAGCACTCTCACCCGTTAAGCTAGAATTCAGTAGTTCTATGTTTTTAACATCTATAAAGTACATAATTTATACCCTTTGGTCACATTTTATTTGCAGCATTTCTGCAGGTTAAGCTTACCAGTAAACTTTTTAAGTAAAAAATCTTAAAAGGGTTGGGCTTCTAGCAATGGTCAAGTAGCTCCTAAGGGACCAACCCAGTTTATAGAGTTTACTATAAACTCTGGAAACTTTTTCAAAAAAGTAAAAGTGCTAAAAGAACAAAACAGATCATATGCCACCCACTGTAGAAAAGACAAAGTTTAGAGTGTAGTCTAGCCAAGGTACCTGACCACTTAAAAACAAAACAAATAAAAACATTCTTTGGAGGAGTAAAACAGAATCCTGGGTCTTTATACTAATAGCTCACAATGTTCAGTAAACAAAACATTATCTAACAGAAATTTATTAGATATATGAAGAAACAGGAAATTCAAGAGACAAAGAGTCAGTGCAGACCAGCTCCAAGATGAAATTTGAAGAGGATTTTAAAGCAACTATATAAGAAATTATACTGAAAAGGGTAATGGGAAATCTGCTTATAAAGAATGAAATTTCAAAAAAGAAACCATAAAGAATAACGAGTGTATAAATGAAAAATACATTATCTAAAATAAAAAATTCACAAATTGGGCTTAACAAATTGGAAGTAAAGAAAAGTTAGTGGACTTAACAATAGATCAATAGAACAAACAAAAAACAGGTTGAAAAAAAATATATAAACAGAGCCTCAGAAACTTGTGGGATAACACGTAACTGAATTACCAAGAGGTAGAGGAGAGAAAGGAGTAATTTTTTTCCAAGAGGTAACAAAAATAATGAACCTGCTTACAGGTTAGCATCGATCATCAGTAACTGTGAAGAATAGAGACTAGCAGCCTTTCCATGTGAGTTCCAAATTTAAACCGGAAATGTAACCTGTATGACTTTCTTTTAAATTCTCACCCAAGCATATGTTTTTATTGATTTCCGAGAGAGACAGAGAGACATCAATGCAAGAGAAACATACATCAGTTGCCTCCCGTATTGAGCCTGACCGAGAATGGAACCTGCCACCTTTTGGTGTATGGGACAATGTTGTAACCAACTGAACCACCCAGCCAGGGCAAAACTTTCCAGAAACATTCTGAAGAGTCAAAAAAACACACACACAGCCCTAGCCGGTTTGGCTCAGTGAGTAGAGCATCGGCCTGCGGACTGAAAGGTCTCGGGTTCAATTCCGGCCAAGGGCACATGCCTGGGTTGCGGACTCGATCCCCAGTGTGGGGCAGCCAATCAATGATTCCCTCTCATCATTGATGTTTCTCTCTCTCCCTCTCCCTTCCTCTCTGAAATCAATAAAAATATTTTTTTTAAAAAAAAATCACACACACCACCACAAAAGGGAGCTGTCACAGGCACACAAAAATGGCTGTGCTCTGTAGCACAAATACAAATTTCAAATTTTCAACTGTCCTACCACAACTCCAAGTATATATGATGGAGGCTTTAAAAATAAAAATTTAGCCCCAGTCAGGTGTCTCAGATGGTTGGAGTGTTGTCCTGTACACCAAATGATTGTAGTCCAACGCCCGGTCAGGATTCATATGGGAGGCAACAGATCAATGTCTCTCTCTCACATCAATGCTTCTCTCTCTCTCTCTCTCTCTCTCTCTCTCTATCTCTATCTCTCTCTTTCTGATATTCTCAGGCGAAGATAAAATAAAAATTTAAAAATTCTTGCTATTTTTTAAAACCAAAATGACATTATTAATTCAAATCATATTAAAGCATAGAAAGAAAAGAGAAGTTACCTTGACAGCTTTCTGGGAATTGGGCAGTCCTTCCTCTATGTCTTCCAGAAGAATTCCTCCTAAGCCTCGCTGGTCATGCTTATCTAAGAGCCTAAGCAGAGCCTTCTTATCTTTTAAGTTGTACTTGGGCTTGAAGGCATACTTCCCATCTATTACTTCAATTTTGGGATTATTGACTAATGCCTGTAACAGTGACACAATTTGAATATATTAACAAAAGAAAAGCTCATATATACTTTCTTAAATTCTACTAATTATTTTAAAAATATAATACCCAATTAATGGCAAATTAAAAGCATCTTATGACTATCAACTGGATCTAAAATACTGGACATCCAGGATCCAAAATAATAGACTAGAGATCAGCATGGTGCTCACCACTTTTTATAAAAGAAACTTTATTAATTATATAAATTATTTGGATGAGAAATAAACCATTTTATCACAACTACTTTGAAGAAAGCTATACCCATATTCTTTTGGAAAACCAAAGAGGTAAGAATCAATAAAACAGCTATTAACATTAATAGACAAAGTGAACTGGGTATTGCCTACCCTATCCTCAAAGTTTAGTTTATTGCATATTGCCATTATGTGATAAACACTACCCTGGGATAAAGATATCAACAGTCAGTCTGCCCCACTTAGTATCAAATGGCACTAGCAACTGTGGAACGAAATGAAAAGGACCAAGTTAGTGAATATAAGAATGAAACTGAGTAGGAATATAGGAATTACTGAATATGATTATGTTCCTAGTCAGTTCTGTTGTACAGCAAATATCAGAAGAAAACTCTTTAAGAAAGAGCAACCCTGCCCTAACCGGTTTGGCTCAGTGGATAGAGCGTCAGCCTGAGGACTCAAGGGTCCCAGTTTCGAGTCCGGTCAAGGGCATGTACCTTGGTTGCGGGCACATCCCCAGTAGGGAGTGTGCAGGAGGCAGCTGATCGATGTTTCTCTCTCATCGATGTTTCTAACTCTCTATCCCTCTCCCTTCCTCTCTGTAAAAAAATCAATAAAATATATTAAAAAAAAAAAAAAAAGAGCAACCCTATTTTCTTTTGCAGTTGCCAGCCTGACCCTGAAAGGAGAACAAAAAGAAACAAAGAAGGAGGGAAAATAAAATAGTAATAAATGTAATCTTTAATATCTGTAGTCTGTGAAATCCCAAGATGAGGTATAGCAACAAAATTTAAATATGGATTACCCCTATTTGTATATCATTAATACAATGATAGTGATTAACTGGTTCATTTATATTATGAAAATCAAGAACAACATTTCGCTTGGTAAAATAAATTAATTGAATTATATTTTAAGAATTTTACATTTGGTCTTTAAAATATAGCACTGGTCCTAGAAAACAGTCTTCTTAATTGTCATTTCATAATTAAACAGAAAAGAAGCAAATATCTGAATTTTTTAATTGCTATCCATTTCCAAATTAGTATGGTCAGTGATTGGTTTGGGGTTCCTTTTCTTCCAATGCTGTGTTTACATACACAATGTTCATGATTATTCTTCCAAGTTACCTAGTAAAGGTAGTAACATAACTATCAAATCATACTAGTAGTAATACTATAACAAATATCTCATTGAACAAAATATCTTGCTATTCCTACAATACTTCATGCTTTCAATGTCCCAAAACATTTGTAAAAACAATACAATTTGCCAACACATATATTATAAATTCAGCAATTCAAAATAAGCAACAATAATTTTGTAAAAACTAAATGGAGCCTGGCCAGTGTTGCCAAATGGTTAGGCATCGGTCCATGAACCAAGAGGTCCCTGGTTCCATTCCCGGTCAGTCAGGGCACACGCCCAGGTTGTGGGCTCAATCCCTAGTAGGGTCATTCAGTAGGCATAAGATCAATGATTCTCTCTCATCTTTAAGGTTTCTATCCCTCTCCTCCCTCTCTCTAAAAAAATCAATAAAAACATATTAAAAAAAAACACAAACAACAACACAAAAAACTTGCTGGACCAGAATGGCTCAGTGATTGAGCGTCAACCTGTGAATCAGGTGGTCACGCTTTGATACTCAGTTAGGGCACATGCCCAGGTTGCACAATCAGTCCCCAGTAGGGGGCATGCAGAATGCAGCTGATCAATGATTCTCTCTCATCATTGATATTTCTCTCCCTCTCTCCCTCTCCCTTCCTCTCTGAATAAAAATATTTTTTAATTAAAAAACAAAAATAAATGGAATACAATGGCTAACTTTTTAGAACTTTTATGCTAAAGTCTTTGACATTTTTAAATAGATATGTAAGATTATATGAAAATCAAATAATCTTAAAAGATGTTATGTTTACAAAACACTCTATACCAATTCTTTTATGAAAAAGTAAAAACAATTACCAGTTTTAGTATATTAAAAACCCTAGTTACAGCATATATTTCATGGTAATCAACTAATTTTTTTTACAATATTTTAAGCCTATTCTTACCTCAGACATTAGCCATTGTTTCTGCTTGAGTCCAATATCTAAATGTTGTGTTTCATCCAAAATTTCTTCTAAAGTTAGAGGATGTGTATCTCCTCGCTGATGACGCGTCTATTTGGGGGGAGATAATATTGGAAGGCAGTTCTTCAATGCTAGATGCATTAAATAATAGTTACAAGTAAATCATTTCAGCAATGTAGAGCATGGATTATTTGAAACAGGACAATTATAGTGATGAAAAAAATGGACTATAAAATCAGACAGAACCAGGTTCAAACTCAGAGTTCTATAAAATCAAATGTTAAACTGAGAGAAAATATTTGCAACATTACCAGAAGCTAATCTTCCTAATATTTTAAGGGTTCCAAAAATCTAACAGGAAAATGACCAAAAGACAGGAAACACATAAATCACAGAAAAAGAAACGCAATGACCTTAAATACGAAAAGATACTCAACCTATACCAAGAGATTTTTTTACCTATTATGTTGGCAAAAATCCATAACTGATGATAAGGCTGTAAGAAAATAGACCCTTCACACACTACTGTTATGAATACTAATTGAAGAGCATTTGAAATCTTGCTCCCCAGCATACGTCTGCAGTTTGACTCAAATAAACTCATAAAACATTTTTAATACTGTTTTGTTTTGTTTTTTAAAGAGAGAAAAAACATCAATTTATTGCTTCACTTATTTATGCATTTTTGGTTGATTCTAGTATGTGCCCTGCCTGGGGACTGAACCTGCAATTTTGGTATATCATCGGGATGTAGCTCTAAACCAACTGAGCTACCTGGCCAGGGCAAAAAAAATACTAATTGATACCACTCCTAGGGAGGGCAATTTTATAACATAAATATATTTAAACCCTATAACCCAGCAATCCCATTTCTAGGAATCTGCCTTACATAGAAAAGTGACAAGGTCGCACGCAGCAGCATCATTTGTATAAGGAAAATATTAGAAACAACCCATGTGGCCGATTAAATAAACTAGCACATCTATGCTACTAGACAGATGTTAAAGAAAATGCAGATGTTTTCTATGCACAAATTTCAAAAGCTGTCCAGGACAAATTATTAAAAAACATATGCAGACACCAAATGTCGGTGAGTATGTGAAGGAACAGAAACTTTCATTCACTGCTGGTGGAAATGCAAAATGGTACAGCTGCTCTGAAACACAGTTTGGCAGTTTCTTTTGAAATTAAACATACTCTTTATTATCATATGATCTAGCAATTATGTTCCTTAGAGTTTACTCAGAGAAGATAAAAACTTATGTTTACACAAAGACCTGCACACAGATGTTTGTAGCAGTTTTATTCACAATTGTCAAAACCTGGGAACCAAAATGTCCCTCAGTAGGTGAATTGATAAACTGTGGTACATCCAGACAGTGAAATATTATTCAGCACAAAAAGAAATGAACTATCAAGTCACGAAAAGACATGAAGGAACCTTAAATGCCTATTAATAAGTGAAAGAAGCCAATCTGATAAGGCTACATACCAACTATATGACATTCTGGAAAAGGCAAAACTATGGGGGCAGTAAACAATTCAGAGGCTGCTAAGGGTTAAAAGAGCAGGAGGGATGACAAGCAGAGCACAGAGGATTTTTAGGTCAGTGAAACTATTCTGCATGATACTAACATGATGAACACATTCATTATACATTTGTCAAAAACCCATACAATGTACACCACCAAGAGTGAATCCTAATGTAAATTAGGGACTTAAAATGAGAATGATGTATGAATGTATATTCATAGATTTTTAAGAATATGGTGCAGGATGTCGAGAGCATGAGAGGTTGGGAGTGGCAGCAGTGAACATACGAGAACTCTGCTTTCTGCCCAGTTATTATAAACCTAAAACTGCTCTAAAAAAAATAAAATCACAGGTTGAGCATCGACCTATGAATCAGGAGGGCATGGTTTGATTCCTGGTCAAGGCACAAGCTAGGGGTTGTGGGCTCGATCTCCAGTAGGGGGCGTGCAGGAGGCAACCAATCAATGATTCTCTCTTATCATTAATGTTTCTATCGCTCTCTCCCTCTCCCTCCCTCTCTGAAATCAGTAAACATATATTTTTTAAATCTGCAACTAGTTGAACATCATAAACCAACAAAGCTTCCTCTGCTCAACACACTATGACAAACCTGAAAGATCCACACATTAGTAACATTTAAAGGTGGGCAAATTGTATCTCATACAGTTCCCTAAAAGCATTCCTTGACCTTTCTCCATATAACTTCAAAGTAATTCTCATTGACAACTGAAGAGTAAATTAATAAACTATAAAAAGCTTTTTTGTTGCTGCCTTAAGTTCTTGGTTTTATCAGATCTTCAAAAAGACTACACAAGGGACAGCTGAAAACTTTCCAAGAATCAATTAACAGATCACCTTTCATATGTATTTTTTCCTCTCTCAAAAGAGACCCTACACCCTCGTTCAAAAAAAGGGGTAAAACTTTCACTTCCACCCAAATTTATAACGCATTACCTGGAGGTGTAATAAACTCTAGGGCCTCAAAAAAAAGGACAAGTCAAAAAAATATTTGGGGAAGCTTTTATAATGATAACTGAGGTGTCACAGACTACCCACTATATAGCTTCTTGTCCTTTTCAGTCTTACATATTTTTCCAACAGTTCAAAATGGGATATTCTGGCCCCTAACAGGGCTTTCTAAATCCTGATACAGTATAGTTCATGGGCAATTGAGAGCAGTTTCATTTAAAGAACTTTGTCTCTTCTATCTCCACACACTCCACCTCCATGCTGTACTGTCCAAAAATGCATCACTCTTTGGGAGAATCTAATAAGAGCAAAGTAAGGAACCACTGATAAGAAACATCTAATAGCCAAACCGGTTTGGCTCAGTGGATGGAGCGTCGGCCTGCGGACTGAAAGGTCCCAGGTTTGATTCCGGTCGAGGGCATGTATCTTGGTTGCGGGCACATCCCCAGTGGGGAGTGTGCAGGAGGCAGCTGGTCGATGTTTCTCTCTCATCGATGTTTCTAACTCTCTATCTCTCTCCCTTCCTCTCTGTAAAAAATCAATAAAATATATTTAAAAAAAAAAAAAAAGAAACATCTAATAAACTCGATTGTTTCAAGTATTTAAATATAAGTCATTTTCCTCAGCAATTCCCAAAATTCACTCCTTGAATATTTATTAGCTTGAAGAAAAAGCACATTTAAAGAGCTGAAACAGTATCAAGTAAGGAGGCTGATTCTTTTACATATAACAAATATTTTCCAGGACTACCAAATTGTTCAAATTATCTCCATAAAACCCACAGACAAAAACTGCATACAAATTATTTTAGATTAAGTGTGAATTATTCATTGTGAAAGTTTAAAACCTATTTTGTCAAATCCTATCATGAAATTTTTATTCTAATTAGATGTAATTCTCATTACATCTTTTAACCAGTTTTATATTCCTATCTCCTATTACAAAAGTCATAGCTAGCTCTAAAACCAGTTCTTTTTTTCTAATATTTTCATTGATTTTTTTTTTTTTAGAGAGGAAAGGGAAAGAAACATTGATGAGAAACATAGATTGACTGCCTCCTGCACGCCCACTACTGGGGATTGAGCCCACAAGCCCGGCATGTGTCCTGACTGAAATCGAAACAGGGACCTCCTGGTGCATGTGATGAGGCCCAACCAACTAAGACACAACAGTTAGGGCCCAATTCATTTTTAACAATAGGTATCCTTTTCCATTAAATATACCAAAATAAAGTTATTAATGGAGTTATTTCTGAATCATTCATTTTTATTTATATGTAAAAGCTGAATATCAGGGATCAGAAGATGCAGGCACACACATTTAGAAAAGCAGTAACACACCTTTTTCCATATTTCTTACTTCATAATTATTTTATTATGTAATTTATAATGATGCAATGTAACATAAGCAGCCTATTTGTTTTTTAAATTATTATAAAAATTAATACATTAATTCTATTTGACTATATAATTTTCATCTCAATTACTTTAGAGGTATCTTTTAATATGCATTGTAAAATTTATTTCTCAGTAGTTTTTATATTATTTAAAATGTGTATTGCCCGGCCAGTGGGTCTCAGTGGTTGAGTATCAACCTATGAACCAGGAGGTCACGGTTCGATTCTCAGTATGAGCACATCCCTGAGTTGTATGCTTGATCCCCAAGAGGAAGCATGCAGGAGGCAGCTGATCAATGATTCTATCTCATCATTGATGTTTCTAATCTCTCTCTCCCTCTCCCTTCCTCTCTGAAATCAATTAAAACATATTTAAAATGTGTATTAACCTATTTATTTGAACTTAAAAGTAGAAGATATTTTATGATATAGCTAGTTGGTTTGACAATGGAGACTAGTTTCATTAATCGAGAGATACTTTCCATAAATCAAATAAGCTAAGCCTTCAGCCTGAGTTTTGACAAAAATGTATTTATATACATAAGATAAAAGCATTTTATGGAAAATTACATTGGCAAAGGTGTACTGAAATAATATTTTTATTTTCTCAACCACTTCTGAGTGTAACAGATTAAAGAGTGCCTACAGGGGAAGAGAGGGAAATGATATAATGAGGCACTTGCTAAGTCCTGGTCAAGCCTTTTTGATAAACTCCTAAAAACTAAAAAAGCCAATGGTTAAGGACCAGGTAACAAACAAATCCTTTAGCAAGTTAGGCAGTTCATGTTATTTTGCTTTCAACAAAACTGAAGGAGGGCCTAACAGAACTGTCAACTGATGGATGCTTGATGATAAATCACTGAGTTTTGGCATATAACTTACAAGATTTTGCTATCACAAAACTTCCATTAGAATATATATTTATATAACCATTTATTTCTCAGCACTTAAACCTATAAAATCTAAAAATAAGAGCAGAAATTGCTGCCAAATCCTGTTTCATTCTATCAATAATTAATTTATATCTCTCTCTCTCTCTCTCCAGATACAAGAACCACTGGTGGAAGAAGACAGCACCATTCATTTTATTAAAACAAAAATTTGTTGTTGTTGTTAATCCTCACTTGAGGATATTTTTTCCATTGCTTTTCAGAGAGACTGGAAGGGAGGGATGGAGGGATGGAGGAAGAGACAGAGACAATGACTGATTGCCTCACACAAGCACCCTGACTGGGGCTGAGGATCAAACCTGCAACCCAGGTAAGTGGCCTTGACCCAGAATCAAACACGCAACCCTTCAGTGTGTGGGGCAACACTATAACCGTTGAGAACACTGACCAGGGCTCATTTCATTTAAAAAAAAAAAAAAGAATTTCTATTGAATAATTATTTCAAAGTAAATTTTAATAAAAATTTTCATGTTATTCTAATCAACTGTGTGCTAATAATTATAATACCTCAAACCAAGGTATTTTTAATACCTAGAGTATTAATCACAAGGAAAACATTTCTAATCCTATCTAATAGACAAACATGGTAATTGACCGTACCTTCGCTACACCTCCCATTGGCTAATCAGTGTGATATGCAAATTAACCACAGACAAAGATGGCGGCTCATTTGCATACTGCAGGCAGGGCAGGACAGCGCCATCCTGCCTGCCCCGCCACCATCCAGGCCCGCTATTTGCCTCCTGGGGCGGTGGGGTAGGACAGCGCCATCCCGCCTGCCCTGCCGCCATCCGGGCCTGCTATCTGCGACCCGGGGTGGCGGGCATCCCATGTGCAACCCGACCCGGGGCGGCCAGGCGGGGCAGCAGCGATCCGCCGGCCCACCCGGGTGTCCTGTGTGCGACCCAACCCAGGGCGGCAGGGCAGGACAGCGTGGCTCCTGTCACCCCAGCTTCCTCATCACAGCTCCCTTGGGGGCCTAAGCCTTTAGTCGGACATCCCCCAAGGGCTCCCTGGCTGCCAGAAGGATGTCTGACTGCAAGCTTAGGCCTGGTCCCCCGGGGAGTGGGCCTAAGTCGATAAGTGGACATCCCCCAAGGGGTCCTTGACTGCAAATGGGCGCAGGCCGAGCTGAGGGACCCCCCCCCCCCGCGAGTGCACACATTTTTGTGCACCAGGCCTCTAGTCTATATATATAAAACCTTAACAGGCAAATAGACCAAACGGCAGAACATCCAAACAACCAGTCACTATGGTGTGCACTGACCACTAGGGGTGCGCGTGGAACATGGCAGGCGTCGGTAGCAAGCGGCAGAGCACGGAACATGGCAGGCATCAGCCATGGCGGGATAGTGGAGCAGGTAAGTGGGGGCGCCAGAACAAGTCAGGGCGCCGGTTGCTGTCATCAGGGTGAGCCTCTGGTGGTTACTGAAAATTCTTTGCTCCTGCGCACCACAGTCCCAACCAGCGCTCGCACCTGCTGATGGTTCCAGCCCCGCTCGCACCCGTTGCCAGCACCAGAGCCGCCACTCGCACCTGCTGCTGGCACCATCAGCAGGTTCGAGTGGCAGCTGCCGGCCCCGAATCACCCCTGAGGGCTTTGTCCACCTCCCCCTGCTCCTGAGGGGCAATCAGGGCAGCAGCTGCCACTTGCACCCACTGACGGCGCTGGCCCCGCTTGCACCACTGCTGGCGCCAGCCTCAATCGCTTCACGTGGTCAGCAGGTGCAGGCGGGGCTGGGCGCCGTCAGCACATGGGAGTAGCAGCGGCAGGAGTGGGGCTGCTGGCAGACAGGGGACCAGGGGCCACAGCAGGAGGGGGCGCAGAGGATGGGCCAAGACCTGCCCCTGTGCCCACCGCAGCCTTGCAGCCCAGTTCAAGGTGCATGAATTTGTGCACTGCGCCCCTAGTTTATATATATAATGTGTACATATACATAAATGTAAATAATTGTGGCAAAGATTTTCAAGCATAAAAATACATAACATTAGCATATAGTATAGAGGGAGTAACAGGATGGACCAACAAGTTCAAGGGGAAAATAAATTTCCAACCATTGAGCTTTGTTTTAATTTTTTAAATGTTTTTATTGATTTGAGAGAGAGATAAAGAGAAAGAGAAAGAAGCATCAACCAGCTGCCCCTGCACGCCCTCTAATGGCAATTGAGCCCCAAACCTGGGCATGTATCCTGACTGGGAATTGAACTTGTGACCTCTGGTGCCTGGAACAATGCTCAACCAACTGAGCCACACTCATCAGGGCTTTGTTTTTTATTTTTAAATTAATGATGGCATTTAGATTTTGTTAAATATAAAAAAGAATGATTTATTTCATTAAAATATTACAATATGCGAGAAATTCTATCCTTTGCCACTTTTGCTGAAAAATTGTAGTTATCAATTTAAATATGTGCAAAGGGATACACAACTTTTCAAAACTGTTTCAGGGAACAGGAGTAAAAATTTGAACACTGTCCTAGATAAACCAAATTACAGTAAGGGTCATCTATGTAAGTGAAGACTATTAGCAAAAGAGCAAAAACGTGACATTTAAATGTCAGTCTCCCTCAAAAGATGGACAGCCACAAGGTCATACATTTTTTCCTGGGTATTCCCACCTTTAGTGCTACAAGCAGTATATAGTGGGTTTTAAGAATTGTTTATCAGGTGGAATAATGGATAGATGAAATTAATGGTGAATACATAAGTGTCAAAATATAGTATTTGGTAATGGGAAATTATAAACCAGATTTCTACTAGAAATTAAATGGACATAGGCAGAAACTAAGACTCTTAAATTATGAAGTCTCAGCATAAAATCTTGATTTATAGTTTTTAAATGATAGCTGAAATTTGAAATAATTATAAATACAGAACTTTGACTCTTTTCAAGAGATACAACTACTAATTAAATGGGAATAAGAGTTTGCTAAATGAAGGGTACAAATTTGAAATCAAGTAACCATCCTAGTTATAAATTTTATTTAGTAAGTTAGGATTCAAAGCCTTTAGTAAGCCAAAATGTTATAATCATTAAACTTATTTCAAAAAAACACTAAATCTTCCATCAAACATTAAATTCAAATTATTTTGTGAATTAATGTTTTTCTAAGACCCTCAGTAATTCTAATTTTCTCCTCCAAGATGTAGAAAAGCCATCACCTCCACCTGCCTGAACTATGTAGTTTCTACTTCTCATATCAATGGAAGTAATATTCTCTTCTTAGGGGTTTTGCAAACAGGTATTGATTTATCCTTGAATTAATGTAAATTAAATATACTTAAGTGACTCACTGCAATGTCAATCTTCTATAATAATAAAAGTATAATATGCTAATTAGACAGGACATCCAAACGACCTTCCAGACGTCTTTCCAGATGAAGCCACGGTGGCTGAGGCAGAGGCAGTTAGGGGCGATCAGGAAGGCAGGCAAGCAGTTAGGGGCAATCAGGCAGGCAGGCGAGTGATTAGGGGTGATCAGACAGGCAGAGGGGTAAGGGGCGATGAGGCAGGCAGAGGAGTGAGGGGTGATGAGGTAGGCAGGCAAGTGGTTAGGGGCGATAAGGCAGGCAAGTGGTTAAGGACAATGAGGCAGGCAGAGTGGTTAGGGGCGATCAGGCAGGCAGGCAGACAGGAGAGTGGTTAGGAGCCAGTGGTCCTGGATTGCAAGAGGGATGTCCTACTGGATCGGGCCTAAACCGGCAGTCAGACATCCCCCAAGGGGTCCTGGACTGCGAGAGGGTGCAGGCCAGGCTGAGGGACCCTCCCCCCCCAGCCGCCGCACAAATTTCGTGCACCGAGCCTCTAGTTAGATATAAAAGACTTAAAACATTATTTTTACAGTTTAGAGATATTAATAGGCATAAAAATAAACTACATATATTGAAATATACAATTTTTTTAAATGTGACACACACACACACATATATATATATATACACACACACACATATATATAAATTTACTTCTGAAAATCCCAATCCCCTTCTGCCAAGAGATTAAATAGGATTTTTGTTATCTGAAAAAAGTACTTACTTTCATATAATTCACTATCTTAGCAAGAACGCCAAACTTATATCCAGAGCTTCCTGAAAGAGCTTTCAAGTTAAATGATCCATTGCTATGATCTGAAAACAAAGTTCAAAAAACAATAAGATTTTCATATTAGATGTGATTATGACTTGTAAGGAGCTAAGATGACTTTTTAAAACAGCTAAGATGGCTTTAATTCAGATAAAGATTTTTCTTGTTTGAGATTTTCTATCCAGTGAATTCTATACTATAAAACTTGGTGAAAAGTTAAAATCCTTGACTGCATAATTAACTATCCATTGTCTCACTAAGGATGGGAACAAAATATACATAATTCAAAAGCATTAAAATATATTTCTTTTGTAAGTACCTTTATCTCACTCTTTCCTTAATTCTGATTAGATTTCCCCCATAAATAGAAGCAAGACTTTTTAAACAAAACACAGTACAGATCTCAATCTGATCACTAGTGCTTTTCTTTTTAAATTTTTTTTTAATCCTCACCAGAGGATTTTTTTTCAATAGTTTTTAGAGACTGGAAGGGAGGGAAGAAGAGAGAGAGAAACATCGATGTGAAAGACACACATAGATTGGTTGTCTCCCTCACGCGCTCCAACCAAGGTGGGGATCTGAACCTGCAACTCAGGTACATGCCTTCTTCTTCTTTTTTTGATCTTCACCCAAGATATTTTTTTTATTGATCTTTTAGAGAGTGTGGAAAGGAGGGAGGAGGCAGGAGACAGAGAGAGAAAAATTGATGTGAGAGAGACACAATTGGTTGCCTCCCAAACCTGCCCTGACCAAGGACTAGGGATTGAACCTGAAACCAAGGTACGAGCCCTTCAACAGAAATCAACCCTTCGGTTCTCTGGATTGACGCTCTAACCACTCAGCAACCAGCCACAGCCAGGTAGATGTTTTTGATCTGGAATCCAACCAAGACCCTTCAGTGTGCCAGCCTAACATTCTAACCACACTGGCCATGGTGCTTTTCTAACAAATTTAAAACCATGAGAACTAAGTGGTTACTTCTGGGGATAAAAAGTTCAATTTATCACTTATGACATCAATTTCTGCTTTTAAGTGAAAACAAATGGGCATTAATAGAATAAAAACAATGATACCATAACTATTTTAAAGTAAACTTTAGAGATAAGTTAGGAATAAGAACTGTAAGTACTGCCACTGCATAAACCTGGATGCTTAGAAAGAATGATAGCATGAAACGAGGGGCAATCTGTACAGAGGATTATTTGTTTCAGAACATCTATCATTTTGTTGCATTCTTACAAGCACAAATCCTAATGCTACCCTACAGCACAAATGCATTCCTTTACTCACAAGCAAGAACTGGTAAAAAAAAAATTCATCATCTATACCAAAAAAAAAAAATTTCAGAAGTACACTTTCTATTAGCATGGCATCAGGTCAGAAATTATGAAGTTCCCATGTGGCTGATACATAAGAGCAGAGGTTAAATAAAATGGGGAGAGTCAATGTCTGGCACCAGCTTGGTAACAATAATTTAAGCAAAAGAATACATTAGAACAACCACAAGTCAAATGTAACAACTGTCAGAGATCCAAAAGAACAGCTTCTAGATGGCAATACTCCCTTGAGATTAGTTGAAAAGGCTTTATTGAATATGCTTTCATGAGTCTAAAATGAGACTTCGCATGCAATTTTCCTCTAAGAATAACTGTTACAATTTGGTAGCTTACTTGACACATTAAAGTCTACTTTACTAATGTTTCCCAAAATATCAGTAGTAAGAATGAGAATGCCATAGAGGTGTACTTTCCCACTCATTTTTTTAAATTATGAAATACTACCTACCTATATGGTTCCTTTTTCAGATGTCCAGGGCCTTTATAACAATAGTAGTAACTAAGCTTTATTGAACACTTACTATTTGCCAAGAGCCCTGCTAAATGATTTTTTCCATTAAATCCCTCCCCAAAATCACATTTAGATACTATTGTCCACTTTTAAACAACAACAACAACAAAAACAGAATGGTAAGTGGCAGGATATATATTCAAATCCAGGGGTAAACCCTGTGATAATGCCTTGTATAAGAATCATTAACTAGCCTCTTACACAGATTATGCCATCAGAAATTGGCTATTTTATCAGAGTATGGAAATTCATAAATGTACATCTAATGTTTTCTTGTTTAACTTTAGTAAAGTAATATAAAGTTTATCCTGTATAAACAACTAACTGGGAAGACAAAAAAAAAATGATGAGTATATTAAGATTAAGCACTAAATGGTCATTCATGATCCACATAGTTTTGTTTACCAGAGGTTCTCTAGCATTTAACTCATTACTAGCTATAGTAAACTATAAACGTTGCCCTAGCCAGTGGATACAGCATTGGCCTTCGGACTAAAGGGCTCCAGGTTCTATTCCGGTCTAGGGCCCGTACCTCAGTTGCAGGCTCCTTCCCGGGCCAGGACCTGGTTGGCACCCATGCAAGAGACAACCAATCGAAGTGTTTCTCTCACATTGATATTTTCCTCAGTCTTTCCCTCTCTCTCCCACTCTAAAAATCAGTGGAAAAACATCCTCAGGTGTAAAACAAACAAACAAAATGTGTACTTCTGAAATGTTTTGGTTTTTTTAGTATTTTATGGCCCCAGAATGTGATTTACCTATAATTAAAATAAGTCTATATAGCAAGTATTTACACAACCTACTATTGTTATAATAGCCACTCCCATAATTAAAAACCTTGATTCTGTTATGCTTAGACCACAACTTTAAATAATACACCATAAATAAAAACATTCTATTTCAAACATCCAAATAGAGTTCTTTTGCCATTTTAATTCACAGGCTGTCCTGGCCGTGGCTTGGTTGTTTGGAGCATGGTCCCATACACCAGAGGGTGGCAGGTTCAATTCCTGATCAGGGCACACATGGGAAGCAACCCATTGATGTGTCTCTCTCAGATGGATGTTTCTCTCTCTCTTTCTCTCCCCCTACCCCTCTAAAAATCAATTAAAAAAAAAAAAAAACACATATCCTTGTCTGAGGATTAAAAAAATTAAATACATTTCACAGACTGCTTTTTTAATGTGGGTGGTATGCCTATCCTCTCCCAACTAGTAAAGCCAAAAACCTTATTTCTCTCTTTTTTCTCAGAATTTTTCCTCTATTAAACCACCACATGCGAGTAATAAAACACAATAATGAAAGAAAAATATATATAATTTATAAAATTGTATGCACACTTCCTGGAGAAAATATAAAGCTGATAACCATGGGCTGTGTTTGTGTCCTACTACCTCTCTCAACATTATCTTCAAGCCCCAGCACTGAAATATTCACTGAAGGATCTGAAATATTAAACAATGAGGAAACATCAATTTATTGCTAACTTACAAATTCCTATGCAGGAATTTAGCTGAAGAACAAAAAATAAGGCAAGAAAAGGGATGACAGCTGATATCCCAGACAGCTTTATTCACGTTTATGTATGATTTACTCGTAAGGGTGGCAGGACTTAATGCAAATGAATGTAGAGGAAACTGTCAGCTGCCCTGTGGTTCAACCAATAGAAGCACAGCTCCATCTTGGCTGTGCACTAGACTGCATTACAAACAGACTGTACCATCGATACCATCGCTTCAACAGCAGCCCTTCAGACAAGAGGTAGGTTTATATGATTTTTTTCATTCAGTAATACATGTCCTTATGATGCAGTATAAAAATATTTTACCATAAAAATCAAGCAGAAAGCTTTGTTCCTACTAAAAACCAAAATAAGCAATGTATTCATTTCATTGCTTGGCAGGATTTTATTATGGAAACATGAAGACTGCCTGTGCTATTTGAGAACACCCTTACCATCTGTGCCTTAATGGAAAATTCATGACATTGTCTTTAACCGGATCTATAGCCAGACCTTAGAGTAAACCATAAGCATTTGATTTTAAATGGTTATTTGCTAATTTTATTTTCTCTGAACTATTTCATTTCAGCAGTTTGGTCTGCCTTAAACAAAGGATTTTTCTTCAAGAAAAATCTAAACTAAAAGCAAATCTTGGACTAAAGCTTTCTGATTATATATGTGCAAATTATATTGGCTAGTAAGAAACAGTTGCTTACAAAAAAGTTTGATATATTTTAACAAATATGAGAAAATAATTCAAATTTATTTGATTTTGTGAATCTATAAAATATCACAACAATGATCTTTATATAAAAATAAAAAGACCATAAAGGTACCATTATGTAGGCTGCATTATAAAGAAATGCATAATTTCTAGAGCTTCAGACTTTTCTTTTTTTTTTTTAAATTTTTATTTTTTGCTAAAAGTATTACAAAGGGTATTAGACTTTTCTAACATCCTTACATAAGTAAAATCCTAAAGTCCATATTACTGTAATGTTCAAGTCATGCTATTTTTAAATGAAAACCTTTTTGAAATAACCTTTCATTTTTGTATATGGTACAAAAAGATATAACAGTAACTTCAATGTTAAAGTTATTCTCAAATTTACCCTCACAATAAATATGAAGTCTTACTAATTCACTGCATTTAGAAATAAAAATATGTCCTAAGAACTGGTTAAGGTAGGATAGTACATACCTTTCAAAGTACTAAAATTACTTTCATGGCTCAGATTAACCATTCATGTCTACTAAAAATCAGTAGCAATTGCTGACCAAATTTCTAATTTTATAATATTCAAGCATGAAAATATCATTATTTAGTAGATGCTAGAGTTCAAAGATATTACCTATAAATGTTGACCTAAAGATCCAACTTCTGCCCTTTTTTTTGCTGGATAAATCTATTTAAAGAACTTTTTCTTTTCATAATTTTTATTTCTTTTATTTCTTAGCCTGCATATAGCTAATATTAGTAAAGTGTCCCTTATAAAGACTACAGGTTGCTATAAGAAGATATTAGATCTCTCCAGGTTCAGCACAATGGGGTTTGTTACCTAGAAAACATTCCTGTTTGCCATACAAAGTATGAGTACCCAAAAAAAATCTCAGATAAAATAAAAACTACTTTGCAAAAAAAAAAAAAAAAAAAGTTAACTTGTAACTCAAATTTCAGGTAAACTGTAAACTAAA